AGACGCTGGCCTGAGCAGTGCTGTTGTTCCTCACTCCTTACACTTGATCTACCACAAATGCCATCACGCAGACCCCCAGGTCCTTCCCACCACCTCCAGAGGAGGAAGGCAGGAATTACTGTGAGGAAACTGAGGCACTGAGGTCAAGGCTTTTGTCCAGAGTTGCCCTGGTTTGGAAGGGGCAGAATTGATCCCTGAGACTTCTTTTGACCACAGACCTAGTTTTCTTTCCCTGAGGTGTCAGGGCAGAGAGGGCTGGGGTACCATTAGAATGGACCCATTTTATACCAGACCCTAAGTTTCAGTGATAGGGCAAGGTGTGGGTTCTGGAGGGATCATTGTGTAGGTACCAGAGGAAGTGCCTGGAAACCTCACAGTCCCCCTCCCTTACCCAAACCTGCTCCTGACCTTTCTCACTGTATAAAGAACCCCACCAGTTCTAGGATATCAGGCATAAGGAGGGTTTCCAGGGAGTTTTCCCAGCCCAGTGGGTGCTCTCTGGGTGGCAAGAGCTCTGTGTGGCCTTCCCAAACAGACACCTGTGGCCCCCTCTCCCCTTTAGGATGTGGACTGCGCCTACCTCCGCAAGTCAGACCTGGAGGCCAACGCGGAAGCCCTGACTGAGGAGATTGACTTCCTGCGGCGCCTGTATGAGGAGGTGAGAGGCTGTGGTCCAGGCAGAAACCTGGCAGCCAGCCTGGAAGTGGGGGCCTTGGCCTAGAACTGGAGTTGGCCAGGGATTTGGGCTGGGGCTGCAGTCCATGAGGCTATGGTGGGAGCAGGGGCTGGAGACCAAGGAAGGGCTGAGAAGATTGGATCCACACTGGTGTGTAAGGCTAGGGTGTAAATAAGATCCTTCTGTCTTCTCACCCCCCATGGTCTACAGGAGATCCGCGTTCTCCATGCCCACATCTCAGACACCTCGGTCATCGTTAAGATGGACAACAGCCGGGACCTGAACATGGACTGCATTGTGGCCGAGATCAAGGCTCAGTACGACGACATCGCCAGCCGCAGCCGGGCTGAAGCAGAGTCCTGGTACCGCAGCAAGGTGAGGGGCCCAGCTCCCTCTTCCCAGGATCCCAGCAGGAGGGAGGCTAAAAGGGCTCTCGTCTTTGTCTAGGTGGAATGGACAAGAGAAGGACAGGCAGCTGTCAGGACAGGGTGGCAGATGTGCAAGTTGTGGGGCTCTGTGGGATAACATGTCCTGAGCCTCAGGAGCATCTCTGCTTCCCCCCAGTGTGAGGAGATGAAGGCCACGGTGATCCGGCACGGGGAGACCCTGCGCCGCACCAAGGAGGAGATCAACGAGCTCAACCGCATGATCCAGAGGCTGACGGCCGAGGTTGAGAATGCCAAGTGCCAGGTAAGGGTCACCCGGGGCCTCCCCAGGTCACACAGGCATGTGTGTCCCCAATGGATCTCACCATTCATGCTCCAGGCCATCTGCATGACCAGCGTCCCTGGTTGTGGTCCCTGGGGGAGACTCAGCTGATGAAAGGGAGAGGTCTGCTCTTGGGGTGTTCCAGGAAATGGACAGAGGAACCTGGAACCATAACCTACCTTGTTTTCCTCTGGGTCCCCAGAACACCAAGCTGGAGGCCGCAGTGACCCAGTCGGAACAGCAGGGCGAGACGGCTCTGAGCGATGCCCGCTGCAAGCTTGCGGAGCTGGAGGCCGCCCTGCAGAAGGCCAAGCAGGACATGGCCTGCCTGGTCAAGGAGTACCAGGAGGTGATGAACTCCAAGCTGGGCCTGGACATCGAGATCGCCACCTACAGGCGGCTGCTGGAGGGCGAGGAGCAGAGGTGAGGCCCACATCTGTGGGAAGAGCATCTCTTCAGTCTCCCAGAAACTGCATGAGCAAGGAGCATATTTGAGTGTCATTTGCATGTTATTTGCATCAAGCCTATGTGGAGGAGGGGATTTGCAAGGATTGCTCTCCCCAGCTAATTTTTGTCTCTTTGCTCTCCCTCCAAGGTTGTGTGAGGGCATTGGTGCTGTGAATGTCTGTAAGTCATCCGTACTGTGGGTTCTGAAATAAGGGCTTGAGTTCCTGGCGGGGAGGAGGTCCAGATTGCTAATATTTCAGGACTGTGAACCATCTAGCCTCTGTCTCAACTACTCGACTTCGTCACTGTAATGTGAAAGCCTTGGCCATAAGCAATACCTAATGAGTACATATGGCTTAGTTCCAATACAATTTTATTTGCAAATATAGGAGGCCACCACAGGCCATCTTTGAAACCCTGAAAGGCAGGAGGTGGGTGGCAGTGAATGATTATAAGTTAAATTACTATTTATGATAAGTTAAATAGCTATTTTTGCCTATAGGGAGGACCTTGGAGAAGAGTTTATCAAGGATTCTTGAGGCCTGAGTGCAGGAAGGGGAAGGAGAGAGGAGGCATGAGGATGTCTGGGGGGAAGGCAGGAATAGAAATGGAGGGAAGGAGATCTGAGTAAGAGAAGGGGGCGCTCTCCAGTAGGCAGGGGCCCCTGGGGACGACCTTGCAGGGGTGTGGGGGGGGACTAAGCCCTGTTCTCCTGCAGGTGTCAGCAGCTCCCGAGGCGGGGTCGTCTGCGGGGATCTCTGCGTGTCTGGCTCCCGGCCTGTGACCGGCAGTGCGTGCAGCGCCCCCTGCAGTGGGAACCTGGCGGTGAGCACGGGCATGTGCGCGCCCTGCGGACAGAGGTGCAGCCCCAGCTCCTTGGTGCGGTTCCAGTAGTGCCTCGGGCTTGGTCAACACACTGCTCTCCGAGTCAACAGTCCCTGCCTCCAGTGGTGAGGCCCGCAGCAACCCAAGTCCCTGGGCTTGAAGCGGAAGGGCTTCCAGACCCAGCCCGCCTGACCTGCCCAAACTGCAGCCTTATCTTCCTGCATCTCCTCCACCTTCTCTCCGTCTTCACTCGCGGTTTCTTGGTTTCTTCCGGGGAGGGCCGGGCTCCCCGCCCAGCTGGCAGCTGCCCTCGTCCTTACCGCCAGTCCCAGGACTCTAAATACCTGGGTTTCTCACAGCCCTGGGCAGAGATCCCATCCTGACTTGGGCTTTTCTGGGGGGTCTGGCCTGGCAGAAACCTGTGGCTTCAAAGGCACAGACTGGTCCCAATCCCCTAGGCTGTGCACGTCCGTGGGTGCTGCGTCTGTGCTGCTCTCCTGCCAGACCTCTCCTGCCTTCCGAACCCTCTAACCCTCACAGTGACTGAGGCTGCAGCTCCACGGGGACACCTTTTGGTGGCTGCTCTGGCTCCCTCTCCCCTGCGCTTAGCGCTTAGTCTCCGCGGTTCCAATAAAGCTCATGGGTCATATGTAATGTGCTTAGAAAATCTCCTATTTGTGCCTACATAAGTGGGCTTCAAGCCCAGTTTTTCGGAGGCTGACAGAGAAGGTGTTCACAGACATGATTAGTGGGGGGAGGGGGGTGAGAAGAGGGTTGTCTCCAAGGCACCCCACCCCTAATGCCTCATTCATACACCCAGAAGACTGCAGGGGGATGGGTGGGCAGCCCCAAATGCCCAGCTACCCAGCATGAGGGGGAGCTGGAAAGGAAGGGAGAAGGCCAACAACTGGGAGACTTAGTGGGGGGTAGGGAGTGGGGGCTGGTTCTCTTGCCACCTTTGGTGGGAAACCTTATCACTCATGGCTGGTGGGACACCACTTCCTCCACCCCCCAGTTCCACCTCTACCTGAATATAAGATAATTCCTGGCCATGGGATCAAATATAGACTTCTCCTCCCCCCAGAAACCAACACTCTCTTGATAGCCTCCCACCCCCACCCACCACCAGCACAGCACCATCACCCCCGCGGGTGTCCCAGACACAGAGACCTCCCCACTTCCTCTTCCCCACTATCCATCGTATGTACTGTTGCCGATCCAGAACAGATATCCCCAACATAGACCACAAAAACACCCCCACACTTACATAGACACACAGATATCCCCCCTTCAGACACCCTGACACACAGACGTTCTTACCAAGCAGACAACACACAGACACCCCTCCCCCTACCAGGGATCCAGATCCCCAGCCCATGGACCTGGCACAAAGCCTCCTGCCAGGGATCTAGACTCTGGGACCTCCTCACCCCACTCCCTCTCCAAAACACACAGACCTCCTCCCATGCCATCACCACCCCTCCCCCAGAATCCCAGACCCAGAAAGCCCCCGTCAGGGCCCCAGGGCCAGACAGACCCAGCACCAGCAAAGGCTGGTTGGCCTGCGAGTTGGCTGGTGTACCTGAAACCCAGGCCTGTGACAACTGAATCTCTGGGGCCTGCTCACGGCCAGGAATGTACTCTGGTGGCACAAGCCGGGTTGCTGTAGTGTCCCAACAGCCCTCCCACTCCCTCAGCAGGAGAGGACTTCAGTGCCCCCTCTGTAGCAGAGCCAGACTTCCCTGGGTATTATTTCTGGCTTTCAGGAGAGGAATTGGACACAGCTCCAGCCCTGGGAGGAGGCCAAGGTCTCACACGGGCTATGAGCCGTGCCCCTTAAATCACCAGCAGCAGCACAACCCCAATGTGCTTTCCCAGTCTCCTGCATGGGTGACTCCTCAGTACTCAGAGCAGACCCTATGCTCTCTAAGGCCCCTTCTTCCCCAGCCCTCTCCATCCAGCTGATGAAGCCAGGATACCAAGTACCACGATGGGCCTCACCCAGGCTTCAGAAAGGCTGCTTTACTAGAAGCTATTTGGACATGATTTTTTTCATTTCATTTATTTATTTGACAGAGAGAGACACACAGAGAGAGAAGGAACACAAGCAGGGAGACTAGGAGAGGGAAAGCAGGCTTCCCACCACCGAGCAGGGAGCCCAATGCAGGGCTCAATCCTAGGACGCTGGGATCATGACCTAAGCCGAAGGCCGACGCTTGATGACTGAGCCACCCAGGTGCCCCCAGACATCATTTTACAGCCTGCCGGCCAGTCTTGGTAACAGAGACAAGAGTCCTCCTGGGACCGCGGGGGGCCAGTGGTGCAGGTCTCCGCACACTGGGGCTCATTTTCGTATGCTTCTATGTGTGGCTGCTGAGGTCCTGATGGAATAGGACTTGAAGGCCCCAGGCCCGCCGCTTGAGAAGCTCAGGGCATTGCTGCCCATGGTTCCCCCAAAGGTCACCCCGCCGCCCCGTCCGCCAGTGGAGTTCACCACAGCTAGAAGGAAAGGGAAGAGGGCTCCATCAGCACCTGGTGCCCCAGACCTCACTACACCCACTCTCCTGCTGTGCCTGCCCCTCTCCCTCCCCACAGCCTCTCCTCCCCCCCACCCCCACCCTCCTCAGGCCAGCCCAGAAGGAGCCTGGGACAGCAGTGGCCTGCCCAGGTACCCCCTATCCCACTCTGCCCTCTTGCACGGCTTCCCTGAGCCCCTGAGCCTGACTGGCTAGGGAGCTCCAGGGCACCCGCTAAAAGCTGGTGAGGGAAAGAAGCTCCTGGTCCACACAATGCCAGGCCCTCGAGCCAATGTGCCATCCTACAGACCCAGCCTAGTCTGGACAGCACAGGACATGGGCCACAGCCAAGGACTTACAGATGTTCACAGCTCCCCCTCCATCTCCGGCCAACCTGGGGGCAGAGAAGAGACTTGTGAGAGCAGCTCTTTCCTCCAAGCTGGAGGAAGTAGCACCAGGGCCCCCTCCCCCCAGGAGCCAAGCAGAACCGGTATGCTTTCCTCTGTCCCACACCTCAGTGTTACTGTTACAAAATAAGGGAGGGTGTTGTGAGGGGAGTTCATGTAGACCCTCCTACATACAGGCCCTGTGACCTGGGGCAAGGTCTCAAAGCCTCCATTTCCCCACCTATAAATCAGACATAACTTAGCCCCAGCCTCGCATAGTTGTTTGTGGGGGCTGCATAATATAATTTGCCCAGAGCCCTGGGCACACAGGGTGTGATGAAGGGTAGTCATGATTATTTATGAAGACAGCTGCCTCCCCTAACCAACTCATAAAACCCTCAAAGTGGGCTGTAGCTTACCGATTCTTGATCTCTGGCCCCTGGCATGGGGTCTGGCATGTAGCAATTATTCTGTATGTACCGAAATAATTAGCTAATTGTTGCTTTCCTGAATGCAGCTAAAGCTGGGACTGAGGAGGGAGCAGAAGGTAGTTGGGCTGGCTTTAAGCAGCCCTACAGGAAATCAAAAAGCCACGGGAGACAGTTGGGTGTGTTTGTTTTGTGACTCACAGCTCCATTGTCACCAAGCCCTTGACCTTGGGGTTGAGTTTGCTCTGCAGTGGGGAGGGGAGTCCTTGCCTTGGTAGAAGGAGTGAGGGGAGCCCAGCTGGCCTCATCAGCCCCAAGTTCAGGAAGAGGGCAGAGCAAAGAACAAGGGCAAGAGATAGATACGCTAGGAAGATGCCAGGCCCCTTGTTCAACGGGCCCCGGTGAGTGCTGGGAGTTGCTGGTATCTGTGGATAGGGAAGGAAGACAGGCAGCAGTCAGGTAGAGATTCCAGGAACAGCTTCTGGTGCCATGCCTAAGAATTCGGGAGGAAGGGACCTGAATGTCTAAAGCTCTGGGGATGAGTGTGATTTGTCTCTTCTCATCCTAAGTAAGTATTCGTTTTTGTGCCGAATTTTATATTCGTAACTCTGTATCCCTAAAAGAAGGTGCCCCAAATCGCTTGAGTTTCTAAATCCACAAATACTACACCTGCCCCTGGGAAGGGTGGAGGGTTTAACGGGATTAAAAGCAGGGAGTCCATCTCTATGTCCTCTAAGAAGTGGAGAGAGAAGAGTTGCCTCTCAGAGAACAGGGATCCAAGCCCTGATGATAACAATCTACGCTGAGATTAGGCTTTAAGACGGAATGTTTGCACTCTGTGAGAACTTGGGCATGCCACTCCCGTCCCTGAACTTCAGCCTGCTCAGCAGCCCATGGGAGGAAATGGGTCTGGCCCCATCCTAAGCGTCCCTAGCTCTGGTTCTATGAGGAAAAGAAGCCCAGGTTGTGTATTCCCAATAGAGTGTGGCTCCCACACCCATGGTGGCCGAGGGTGCAAAGAGAGGCATCATGGCCAGGACATTTGGGCCCCAGGGCTGCCCTGTGCCCCAGATCACCTGCTCTCTCTTCCCAGGGGCCTTTGGTGTTCAGTTTATTTTCCCAAAAAGACCAGATGCCAACCCAGGCAGGGATAGGTCAACTGCAGTGGCCAAGACCCTTCCTCCTCTCTTTCCTCTCCTTCCCCAACTCATACCCTGTGGCCATGTTTCTTCTCTCCCTCCTCCCTTCACGGCACTCTGCCCTGGCACTCTGCCCTAGCACTCCCTCGTTCCCCAGTTCCTTCCTGTTCACATAATCCATCTTCCAGCCTGTCTCCCTAACCCCTCGGGAAAAATTCTCCCCAAAGAGAAAAGTTCTGTGGACATTCAGCATTTTACAAATGCATGTGCGTGGTCTCTAGGTGCTCCCTTTACAAATGTTTGCTGTCCTCAGCCCGTGGGCAAGCTCCCTGAGGGCAGAAGCCTGTCTTACATACTCTCTATCTCCATGCTGGGCCAACAAAAGCCAAGCCCTGATAAGTCCCACCACCAAGTCTTGGCCCGCGCTGTTCCCTCTCGCCCTCTCCACACCCTAACCTTCGCCTAGGGCACAACTCTAAAGCCTGGCAAATTGACTGAATGAATCAACCAGTCCATCCAGGTGAGAATGAAGGCCGAACTTCATGGACATAGGTTCCGTGTGTTTCATGAAAAATTCCTATAACACTAACCCAGCCCAGCCTGCTCTCTGGCAGCAGGCATGCAAATATCTGTGGGACCTCCTGACGTTCAGTCAATATCATGTAACTTACCACTCAGTAAAGCAGGAGAAGCAGCTTGGCAATCATGAAAGAAAGGAATCAGCAAAGCTTGACTACACACTCTCCCCTCAATTCAAAAAAGTAAACCACAGTTTCCCCTCTGTAAACTATGCAACAATACCTGACCTACTTACCTGAGTATACTCTGAGGACCAAGTAAGATGACCCTGGCCGTTGAGCTTTACACCACGTGGTCTTTCCTACTAGAAGGTCATCCCATCAAAAGCAAAGGAGCAAGCATCATTTACCCTCCCTACACTTCCTATCCCCAGGGCATTGCAGAAGAGAGGTACGGGAAATGTCTGTAGATGGATGAATGTCAAGCCCCAGGCCCCACCAAGCCCCAGAAGGATCCCCTTCCTGGCTTTTGTGTTCTCACCGGCTCTCCTCGCCCTCCAGTAGCTTGCGGTAGGTGGCGATCTCGATGTCCAGGGCCAACTTGACGTTCATGAGCTCCTGGTACTCACGTAGCTGCCGGGCCATGTCTTGCTTGGCTCTCTGTAGGGCGGCCTCCAGCTCCTCCTGCTTGGCACGTCCATCCTTGAGGGCCAGCTCCCCACGTTCTTCGGCCTCGGCAATAGCAGCCTCCAACTTGGCACGCTGTGGGCAGCAGTGATAGCTGTGAGCTGCGGGGAGCAGGTCTTACCAATCACCACCTTCCTGCCTCCCCATCCTGCAGTGAGCGCCCAGGTGACTCGCTTACGGTGGCTTCACTGGCACCAGTCTACTCCACCGGCATCAGGGAAGCCCAAAACATGGGCTCTGATACCCAGTGCTTAGGCTCCAATTCTGGCTCCACCACTTACTGGCCACATGCATGATCTCAGACACATCAACCCTTCCAGACCAAAGTCGCCTCTCTTCTAAAACAGCAATAATCACAGTGTCTACCTCATAGGGATACTGCAGGGATTAGATGAGGCAATCTGCAAGTCCCTGGCATAGTGTCCAGCACACAGTAAGTGCTTAATAAATGCTATTATAACCATTACTCTTTTGTCAATCACAAATCTGTTTTCTGTTGCTAGGAATTCCGCTTTTTTTAGATTCCACCTGTAAGGGGCTCCTGGGTGGCTCAGATGGTTAAGCGTCTGCCTTCAGCTCAAGTTATGATGTCAGGGTCCTAGGATCGAGCTCTGCATCGAGCCCGCCATCGAGCTCCTGGCTCAGCAGGGAGTCTGCTTCTCCCTCTCCCTCTGCCTCTCCTTCCCCTGCTCATGCTCGCTCTCTCATATCTCTGTCTCAAATGAATAAATAAAATCTGAAAAAAATAAGTTCCACCTATCATTGAGAGCATACAATATTTGCCTTTCTCTGTCTGACATATTTCGCTCAGCGGAAGTGCCCTCAAGTTTTGTGTTGTCGCAAATGGCAGGATTTCTTCTTTCTGGTGCCTGAGTAATATTCCATTTTATGGCTGAATAATATGATATTTTATATATATTTATATGTGTGTGTGTATATATATGTATATATATATATATATATATATATATATATATATATGTAATCACATTTTCTTTACTAATTCACCCACTGATGGATACTTTAAGTTGTTCCACATCTTGGCTATCATAAACGATGCTGCAACAAACATGGAGATGCAGAGATCTCTTTGAGATAATAATTTTATTTCCTTCAGATATATACCCAGAAATTGAATTGCTGGATTCTACAGTGGTTCTATTTTTAATGTTTTGAGGCCCCCTCCATACTGTGTTCCACAGTGACTGCACCATTTTGCATCCCCACTGAAAGTCTACAGGGCTCCCTTTGCTCCACATCCTCACCAACACTTGTTAGCACTTGTTACAATCACTATAATTAATAAATGCTATTATGATTTTCAAATGCTCCTCCCCCCAGTCCCCATCTGGAAGAGATCTGAAGCCACAGGATCTTAGTTGAGTCCTCAGATTTGGGGCAGTTGACAAGAACAAACACCATCTTCAAAACATGTCCAGAACAGGGCACTTGGAGCAGGGAGACACTGCTTGGAACCCCAGACTCAAAATATATGATCAGCAGCCCCTCTGGTTTGGGCCAGGCTGGTCGGATTTGCAATGGACCTGAGCGGCAGCTGCCACTTCCTGTTCAGAATGAGCATTCCTTCTGTCTGTGGCTCATCCCCACACGGGAACCTATCTATCCCTGGGCCTCATGCTGTTGGGCTCTGAGATCTCCCACTCCTACCCCTACCCAGCACACCCCTTCCTTCTCACCAGCCGCTCTCCCTCCTCAGCCCCTCCCCTGTCCCCCACATGCTCTGCCTTTCTGCCACACTTCCCAATCCCCCCAGGAGGCCCTCCCGTGCCCTCTGCCCCTTGTTCCCCTGCCGGTCCTCTTCTCCATCACACTGGTGCCCTCTTGGCCGTGCCTCGTCCCACTGCCTCAGGGCCCCTCCATGGTGGTTAGGACACCTCAACTCTGGGACCTGGCTCTGCCCCATTGTACAAGAGGAGAAGCAGCTATGGCAGAAGCTGCAGGGTCTGGGAAACCACCATTCATTGTTCTGTGCCTCCCCTCCCGGCCTGGAAGGTTCTTCACTGCACCAGCGACTCATAGCTCTGCATTACTGCCAGGAGGCAGCCTCCACCCTCGTGTAAAGCAGCCTGTGGGGCTCCAAGGGGAGGGCATTTCTGGGTATGTCACCCCTACATCCCATCCCCCCAGCTCATCTGGAGATTAGCTCTCTGAAGCTGCAGCCTTGGTTACCGGCCCGCCCTCCCTCCCCACTGCTCAGGCTTAGCTGTCCTGTACATCCCCACACCTTGGCCAGGGCCTGTCCCCCTGCCACCGACATGGCACACCCTCCCAACAGTCTGTCCTCGGAGGCCCGTGCCCCACCATGTACCCAGAGCTGAGAAGCAGCGGTGAGTCAGACAGATGGGGTCCGGCTCCCAAGGCATGATTTATAGTTCAGCAGAGGTGGGGGACAGCCAACCACTTAATAAGCCAAAAGATCTCAAATAGTGATGGATGCTTTGGGAAAGTTCAGACATCCTGCTGACAGAGTGGCTAGAGAAGCCATCTCTGAAAAGGGGACTCACGTCCAAAAATCCCAGGGACAACAAAGGGGCAACCATGGGCTGAGCGGGAAGAACCCCATTCCAGGTGGAGGGAACACCGGGGCCAAAGCTCTGAAGCATGAACATGCCTAGCAGATCCAAGACACAGGAAGCAGGCTAGCGTGGCTGGAGCACAGTCAGACACAGTGGCGGGAGGTGAGGGACGGGGCCTTGTGAGCCACCGCAAGGGTTTCTGCTGGCCTCTGTGCCCCTACTCCCCACAGACTGGGAGCTCCCAGGTACAGCCTACTGCCCCCAGAACAAGGTGCAAGGACAGTGCTCTGAGTTTGGTAATGACTGGTGGTTCTTCTCAGGGCTGGCCAGTAGGAGGCGCCCTCCCCAGGCTGCATGGCCAGCCACAACACCTCTCGTCCCCAGCACTGAGCCAGGATCTGCCCAAGAACATTCTGTCCTGGAGATCTCACATGTGGGCCTTCAGCTGCACCAGCCTTGGCCTGGGAGAGCCTCGGGCTCCTCATTCTCAGATGGCGGCCCTTTATGGGCCCCAAGAAACAGGGAGGAGTGGGGAAGCGGGGACTTGTTCCCACCTGGTTCTTGATGTTGTCAATCTCAGCCTGCAGCCTCTGGATGGCACGGTTCATCTCTGCGATCTCATTCCGGGTATTACGGAGGTCATCCCCGTGCTTCCCAGCCTGTGCCTGGAGGGTCTCAAACTGGAGGGACCACACAGAAAAGTATGACAAGGAGTGGTCAGTGATTACAGGGGACTCATCCTTTGCTCCTCCAAGGAAGGCCCAAAATATCTTCCCAGGAAGCGACTGTCTGACCCCAGCAGTCTTCGCCCACTGCTGGCAAGCCAGACTATTGGGCAATGGGGTAGAGCCGAGGTTTGCTTTCCTCCCAGTCAGGACAGGGAGGGCCAGGATGGCTCCCTGGGTCCCATCCCCATTGACCCTGGGGCTCTCCCCATCCCCATGATGTCCCAAGGGCTGGAGAATCACTAGAAGCCTAAAATCCTCACCTGTTAACCCCTAGGAAAAACACACTTGTTAAAAACATCAGCAGTATCCATTTCACAGATGGGAAGAATGAGCTCTGGAGAATGGAAGCCACTGCCCAAGGATCACATGGCAAGTCTGAACCCAGGTCTCCTTGTTGGCATCTCTGTGTTCTCACCCCATGTACCACAGATGACTCCTACCTCTGCAGAGACCTCTCTGCTGCTTTTAAACCCTGCCTCAGGCTCCCTCCCCCAGAACACTAGGTTACCCCAGCCCACACCCTCAGCCCCTGCACAGTCAGCTACCCTGCCTCCACATGGCAGGTACAGTGATTAAACCTCCCTTGTCTGGAGGCCTAGGACCCAGGATCTAGTCACTACTCTTCCACCTACTAGCTGTGTAGAGTTAGGCACATTGCTTAACCTCTCCGTTCTTTGGGTGCCTCCACACTGTCCACCCATCTGGCTGGGGTCTCTCCCTGGGAGGGCCCTGGCCTTCACCTCCTCTTCTTCCCAGGGCCCTGGGGAGCAGCACAGACTTAACCACTGGTGCCTGCTGGAACAGTGGGACCCAAGTCCTCAAGGCCTGAGACAGGGTGCAGAGTAAGGGAAGCTGCCCTCGGGGACCCTGCCAGGAAGGAAAAAGAACCCTCCGCAGCCTCACACCTTGCTTTGGTACATGGTCTCAGCCTCGGCCCGGCTGCGGTTGGCCATCTCCTCGTACTGGGCCTTGACCTCAGCGATGATGCCGTCCAGGTCCAGGGAGCGGCTGTTGTCCATGGACAAGACCACAGACGTGTCTGAAATCTGGGACTGCAGCTCTGCCAACTCCTACAGGGACAGGACAGAACATCAGGACTTAGGGCGTGACCCATCCCTATTCCCACACCCAACCTGGGACCCTCTTCACACTAAAGGAAGAAAAAGAGAGAAAAGATCAGAGTGGGCGTGAGTCACAAGGCGGTGAGGGGGCACAGACCCAGCCCCTGTCAGCCCAGGGAGGTTAGCAACTTCTCAAGAAAAGAGTCTGGTGGGATTACAGCAGATAAAAACAGACAGAGGGGCGCCTGGGTGGCTCAGTGGGTTAAAGCCTCTGCCTTCGGCTCAGGTCATGATCCCAGGGTCCTGGGATCGAGCCCCACATCAGGCTCTCTGCTCGGCAGGGAGCCTGCTTCCTCCTCTCTCTCTGCCCGCCTCTCTGCCTACTTGTGATCTCTGTCAAATAAATAAATAAAATCTTAAAAAAAAAAAAAAGTGACAGAGTGTGGGGGATTGTGACGGCTCCTTCCCAACACCCTTCCTAACAAATGGTCATCCTGTGTCTCTGGAAGGCCAATCCTGGCTGACCCCACCATGCTCTGCCACCCTCAGCTCCTCCTAAACTTGGATTCCTGAGTCCAGAAAGGATAAAGGACAGGGTAAGTGCCTGCACACACACTCAACACACACTCAGGCTGGCCCAGAAGCAGGGTGTAAACCAGATGGCCCCTTTGTTAAGACATGGAAGACATGCCATGTCTCCCACACCCAAGGTCCTCACCATCTCATAGAGGCTCTTGAAGAAGTTGATCTCATCATTCAGGGAATCCACCTTCGCCTCTAGCTCCACCTTGCCCATGTAGGCGGCGTCCACGTCCTGGGGGAGGGGGAGGGCGCGGCGAGAAGGGGTAGACACCGGGGCGTCAGTACACAGAATATTTAGCAAGGACTGAGGCCAGCCAGCACTGTCCAAACCACAGGGTCAAACACAAGGGCCCTACCAAGAGACATGCCGTTTCTCCAGGTTGCCTGACCTGGCCACAGTAGGAAGTTTCCTCTACTGGACCCTCCGAGATTGTGTGATGAACCTCATTCCCAAGCATCCCAGTGAACACAGGGGCCTTCCCAGCACTGGTAGCCAAAGCAGCCTGTACCCCAAACCTAGCACTTTACCGGGTCCTAAAGACTTCAGTGGTTTGGACACAGCTCTGGCTCGACAACTTCTGAGCTATGTGGCCTTGAACAAGTCACTTCAACTCCCTGTGCCTCAACTTCTGATGAGAGAGGAGAGGTGAAAATCATCCAGGCTGCAGGAAAGGCCTCTCAGAGTGCAAGACCTCCAGCCTACACGTTTAACATGCAGCTTAGTAATGGCAAGACAAGTGACCCACGAGGAACAGCGCAGGCCTGGGGGGCTTTGGGGCCCTTCTAGCAATACACGCCTGTGCTCAAACTCATGTGGACACAGCCTGCTTTTATATATCCCCGAAGCACCTCTATCTCTAAGGGCCCAGCACTCTGGGGCAGGTTGCTGTCCGACTTGAACCCCGAGCTGCTCAGTGAGCGTACTGCATCAGAATCTCAAATCAAGCCCCGCTAAGATACTCTTAAGGCCTTCCAACCTCGGCTTGCTCCTCTCCAGGGACAGGGAGATGGCTCTGCCTCAAGCCCATCCCATTCATTCAACACATACTTCGGCCCTGCCACGTGCCAGACTTTGTCCGCCACAAAACATTCTGACTGCGATAGAGCACTCCCGTATTTGGGCTTGAAATCTTCCTTTCTAGCCTCCATCTCTCCGTCCGAATTCTAATGCCTCCAGGCCAAGAGCAAGCCCAGTGACTCACCAGACGCGCATACAAACACACGCACACAGGACAGGCTGTGCTATGAGGCTTCCAGATCTCCCCTTTTCCAAGCCCCTCGTTCGCTCCTTATAGTCCCCAGACCAGACTTTGGCCACACGTCCCTCACCAGCTGCTTAGGTGCAAGGGCCACGTGGCCCCCTGTCCCACGCATTTTCAGACAATGCCCCCCACACCTGGCCTGTATGCTCCCCCTCACCTTTTTCAGCACCACGAACTCATTCTCAGCCACCGCGCGGCGGTTAATTTCATCTTCGTACCTGCAATAGAGGGAGGGGGCGTGGTGTGGGTGCGGCTCTGCCTCCATGCCCTCTCCACCCAGGAGACTCTGCCCCGCATGGGCTTCACCCCTTCTTACTGACACACCTGGAAAAGTGGGTATCAGCAAGGAAACCAAACTTTCCCTTGTGGCTATGTCTAAGGCTGAGAGTCTTGGCATGGGATGAAAGGTGCAAGAGCAGGGAACGTACATGAATTAAAGGGCAAAAGTCGCATCTACTGGGAGGGGGAAAGCAAGGAATAATAGCCAAGCTTAAGGACCACTTCAAATGGGGACTGCACAGTTATGTGCTTTGCACAAATTAGCTCATCTAATCTTCACAACGATCCTATAACAATGGTACCATGCTTCGCAGGAAAGGAATGGAGCCACAGAGAAGCAGATAATCCATCCAGTCACTATGCTGCTAAGTGGCAAAGCCCAGACTTCAAGCCGGGCAGTCTGACCCCAGGTCCACGCCTTAATCACTACCCAACCCCACCCTCTGAGAGTGAAGAAGGAGCCCGCAGCGGAGGAACACTGTGGACACAGGAAGACGGCACAGCAAGTCCTGGAAGAACCCAGCCCCAGCTGGGTGGTCTGGCCCCATCTCCACGGTCACAGATCCCTCCACCCCAACCCCAAGTTCCTTTTTCTCCCAAGGAGCCCATCCTGCCCATAGGAGGACACTGGCGATACAGGGCACAGAGCAAGAGAGCCCTTGGACCTGACCGGGTATTTACTCGGGAACTTTTTTTTAGAAAGTGTCAGAAACAGGAGCTCAGTAGTGTCCATGGGCTGCAGGAGGGCAGCAGGACAACTGTGGTGGGGAGCATGAAGCTCCTGCAAGCAGAACCCCCCCAAGGAGCCAGACTCACAAGGGCCCACTCCCACAGGTCCTACAGAACAGTTATGGAAACATCCTGGAGGCCATCTGTCCACCCCTGTCCTCGCAGCGTGCCAATGGCCCCTTCAGGTGCCCCTTCCAGCCTCCCTCAGCCCCACTTCAGAGTCTGGCTTGGCTCTGCAGGAAAGTGCTACCTATAGGCCAGGATGAGTAATGTGTGAGCACACACAAGGACACACCCACATAACAACAAAGGCCCGCTGGTTGCCCAGAGCCTTCTAGGTCCTGCACCTGTCTGCTCCCACCTGCTGGGGAATTATCCTGTTGACTGTGGCTCTCCAGAGGGAGGGAAGTGGGTGCTCTCCACAGAGCCTTTTTTGTTTGTTCTGCCTGCAGTCAGTGTCCTTGCCGGCTTAGTCATTCCCCCCCAGGGCAGAGGACAGAACTCGCTCACTACTCACTACTCACCACTCACCAGACTAATGGGCAAGTCTGCTGGGGTGGGGCCCAGCCCAAGCCTCAGGCTTTAGTTTCTCTTCCATGGGAAAAGAGAGCTCATTGGGCCCCTCAAAGGCCTGTCCTTACAACCCTAGTCTTCCAGGCCCTTACACTCTACACTCCCCACCCCCCCAAAACACACACACAGCCTCCTTTCTCGTTCTTGCACTGGCCAGAGCTGGCCCTCAGACTCGGAGACCAGACGTGGTTCCCCATGCACAATCCCTCTCTCCTTCTTTCTGTCCCAGGTCGGCTCTGGATCTCCTCCTGGGAGTCAGGGGCCTAACATTCCAGTCCCAGCTCTCCCAGTGACCTGCCATGTGATCTCCCTCAGGATCCCGAATCTCTCTGGTCTCCTCTACCTCCTCACCAGACCAGAGGGGCTGTTCTAGAATAATCTATGAGGGTCGTGCAAATCCCGAAGTGCATTCGTCATAGGACACCTTCTGCCTTACCCTCTCCTGGGGCCTTGGCCCGGCCTCCAAAAGGAACAGTGCAGGTGAGAGCTAAGTGGGGCTATTTCCCTGGGAGTAAGTCAGGGGACAAGACTTGGAAACTGTTCCCAGGGACAAAGAAGGGAGACAAGAGACAGGGCATGTGTGGGTCCAGGCCTTCTGTCCCGGGGGGTTACTGTGCAGAGCAGCTGCACCCTCTGACCCCCTAGCCCCAGAGGGGGCCTGTCGAGGATCAGCTGACGAGGATCGAGGAGTGCATGCGTCCAGGAGTACGCCCCTCCCCCAGGTGGCACAAGGGTCAGTACTTGTTCTTAAAGTCTTCCACTACATCCTGCATGTTCCGTAGCTCCACCTCCAGGCGGCCTCCATCCAGCTGCAGCCCTTCGAGCTGCCTCTGCAGGCCGGCAATGTGGGCTTCAAAGATGCTGGGGAGGCGGCTGCTCTTGGCCGACTTCTGCTCCTGCAGCAGGGCCCACTTGGTCTCCAGCAGCTTGTTCTGCTGCTCCAGGAAGCGCACCTAAGAGGGAAAGAGAGGAGGACACTCCCGAGGGGCAGCTCATGGCCCCCCACACTGGGCTTGGGAGCATCTCCAGACCCCCAGCACAGCCCATGCTCCCACTGGCTGTTCCCCCAACCCGGGACCCTGAACCTTGTTCCCCTCCTCCAGGAAGCCCACACTGAACCAATCTCTCCTCCAGGATCCTCTGTCCTGAGTGGCTTAGATTGTGACGCAAGGGTCAGATTAGCCCAGTCGCCAATGTGATTCCTATCTCCTGTGTTCCCCATCACATTACAGAATATCTTCTCCACCTCCCTCTCCGCAGAGCTGCCCCCTCCCTGTCTGTCCTTGGTCTCCTCTCTCTGTGTCCTCTCTCCGCTGCCCCTTTCCTCCAAGCTCTCAGGACAGGGTACTAAAATAAGCAATTATTATATGCTCAGTCTGGGGCCCACAAGCCTCCTTGGATGCATCCAATATGACTGGGAGTGGGAAGTAACCCTCCCCAAACCCGCAACTCAGAGCAGCAAGGCCTGGGGGCTGCAGACAGCAAGGCAGAGCTGCTCAGTACTGGGGTAGATCCTGAGACTGGGGAGGCTTCGGCAGACTTAAGGATTTGCAAGGTCTGAATGATGAAGGAGAGGACATGGGGGGCTGGGGAAGCAGAGAGCTACACCGAGGCAGGAGAGGGAAGGTCTGGTCTAACAGTCTAACACCCCTGGGGAGGAGGTCCTGGACAGAGGGGCCCAGCTGGGCTAGTCCCTAATTTCTGGTCCAGCCCTACTTTGCTGCCCTCCTAGACCCACGAGTCAATTTGGCCCCTCTCCTTCCCAACTCCTACTTTCACTCCCCCACTCCCTCCCTGCCCTGTGGGACCAAAACAGCCAGGAAAAACCCCTTTCCAAATGGCCCTTTCCCAGGGCCCCTCAGTGTGCCTTCCCTGGACACAAATGGGCTATCTCCAAGGGCAGGTATAACCTCACCTCCCACCACCACAGGGAGGCTGGAGGACCAGGTCGGTGGGCAGGCGTGGCGGTGAGCCTCCCTCCTCCTTTCCCTCCCTCCCTCCTTCCAGCCCTCTATTTTCAGCACAAGCAATGGGAGGGGAGAGGTAGGAGATCCTCAGCTGGGAAGAGTGTGTCACCCCTACCTGTCTCTCACCCCACACAGCCCCCTCTCAGAGAGACTCCTGGCCCTGACCTCTGGAGCTCCCAACCTGAATGTGCCCAAGAGCGGCAGCCCACTCCCAGACACAGCCTGCGGGCTCTGCCGGACAGACTCAGGCACACACCCTGGGAGGAAAAGGCAGGGCGATCCGGGCAGCTCGCTGGAAGTGGACGCTTGGAGGCTTGGAGCCCCAAGGAGGATAACAGTCACAGGGTTCATGAGGAGGAAGGTTCCCGATCCTAGCAGAAGGAGAGCGCACCAGGCCTCCCAGCGCCTGGCCCGCGTGCATTCCGCGCAGGTAGCTGTTGTGGCCTGGAGCATGGCATGGGGCAGGTCGAGGTGGCTCACCTTGTCAATGAAGGAAGCGAACTTGTTGTTGAGGGTCTTGATCTGCTCGCGCTCCTCCTGGCGCACCTGCTGGATGGAGGGGTCGATGTCCACCCGCAGCGGGGCCAGCAGGCTCTGATTGATGGTGACCTCGCGGATGCCGGCGCCCACGGGGCCCCCGTAGGCGGAGCGTACGGCCACGCGCGGCCGCGAGGCGCCCAGGCCGTACACGCTGCTGCTGCTGAAGCCACCGGGGCGGACGGAGCTCAGGCGCACCTGCGTCCCGCGCCCCGGGAAGGCGGCTGAGCGCGAGCTGAAGACCTGGGAGCTTAAGTGGATGGACATGCTGGCTAGACCGCGCTAGACCTAGGGGCGGGCGCGAGAGTGCCGAACTCGCTGACCTCCGGGCCTGCCGCAGCTTTTATCCGCTAGGCGCTGAGGCGCGGGCGGAGCGGCTCACACAGGTAGGGGCGGGGCTGGCCGCTGGCCACCATTCTCTGCCAGCCCGGCCCCACCCCGGACCAAACTTCCGCTCTCCGCTCCCAGGCCAGGCTTTGGGGCCCAAGCCAGAAAGCCCAGAGTGAGGAGGAGGGCCATGGGTCCCCAGCGCCCGGGATAGGGGCTGAGCGAGCAGTGGGAGACGACCATTTGAGCAGATCTGAAACAGGTTCAGTCTGGGAAGGCTCCTGAGGCCAGAGCAGAGAGATCAAGCAGTGAAAGATGGGGGAACCGGGGGGGGGGGGGGGGGGGGGGGGAGTTCTAGTCCAGGAGTCAGCACCCAGCCCCCTTTGCAAAGCATTCCAGAAAGGCATTCCCAGACAGCCTCCTTACCCCATGTCCAGTTCCTTCTTGAGAGCTCTGCTCAGTTCTTGAGTAATCTGACCCCACGTGGCCCGGCCTCGCTGGTTTCCCTGACCACTACGCCTCATTCCCATACAGAAACTTGGCCAAGTGGGGCATGACCCCTCTTGTGGCCCCTCTCCTTTTCACTCCAGTAGGCATCTGAGGCCCAGAAGCCACGTGGGAATGGTTGCTTTGGGCTCTTCCGTCCCCTCCCCCCACACATTCCTATCCACTTACTTTATTTGTCCCTGTAGAGGCAGGGGACGCCTGCCTGCGTGTCGCTGGGACATTTTGTGGATGTCTGCACACTTTCGTGTGGACACACCTGCAGGCCACTGGATTTCTCTGCGTGCTCACCGGAGACATACCTGTGTGCATGTCTGTGTTCTCAAACAGATGGGGGTCTGCATTCAGTGCGGGGCAGGATGTCCATGGATACACTGTTGCACACTTTCGGATGCAGGTCTGTGAGCCCACTTATTTTTGCACTCCAGCACTCCTCCTCATCTTCCACTGCTGCTGTTTTCCTGTGTAAAGGTCCCCAGCTCTCAGGGTGTCGTCCACCAAACGAGTCCCAGCAGTCTTAAACCCAGCCCAAGATGGGGAGACACATTGTGCTGGAACAGGGAGCCCTGGACAGAGCTGGCTCACCACCCACTTGCACTTCCCAGGAGCCTCCAGCCACACTTGCCCCTGACCTTGGCCTGTGCCAGGCTCTGCCCGCATTCTCCCTAGACCCTGTTTGGTGAGTGGGGCCGCCTAGGGAGCCTTTGGAAAAGATAGCCGATGAGCCCCGGCCACCTTTAGCTGACCGCCAGCCCCACAATGAGCTGGCCGGCTTGTCACCTCAGACCAAGCCCTCAGGGACATCCTGGGTGGTGGAGGGTGGGGAAGGAATGTCCTTCCGTGTTTTCATTTCAGTTAGATAAGAAGGCCTTCCAGGGAGTCTAACCCAGCCAAGCAGCAGCTCCAGCTCAGTGACCTCAGGGCGGGTCTATGCCCCCTGCCTTCCCTCTTCTCCATATCGATGTTGGGACAGCTAGGGCCAGAGGCAGAGGGGTGCCCAAGGAGACCTTCAGTGGTCTCTGCTGTAGGGGGTATGTGTGTGGATGTGTGTATGAGAGATGGGGGGAGTAGACAGAGATTGAGATTTTACCTGGAATTCTCAGTTGTAGTTTAAAGAGCACGCAGAGTTCATGGCTGTGTGATATTTGCAGGTGCAGGGAGCCCACTCCTCCCCAGGCCCCACCCCAAGCAGCCTAAAGAGACCAGCTGTTTAATTTCCACACATATATACATGCACACTCACATGCCTATCTACACAGGCGTGTACATATCACTCACGTATACTCATACATGCATACATAACACATGGCTCAAACACACACACACACACACACACACTATAACTCCCTAACCCCTCAGGGCTCATCCTCAGCCCTCTCCTACCACCTGCCATGCCAGCCCCATACCACTCGACCCCCACAACCCCATCCGTGCTCTGCAGCTGGCCACTCCTGCCCTCTCCCACCCACAGCCCCCACAGGATCTGTCCCCCCAACCCTTCCACTTCTCCCCTAGAGCCTGGCCTGAGAGATCTTGGGCACAACACTGCTGGTGACCTGCCTTGTGACCCTGGACAAGTCACTGCTCCTCCCTGGGCATGTTTTCTTCACCAAAGAAGAAATCCCTGGGTTCCACGGAGGGGAAGGAACTGGGAGGACATTGCAAAGAAGAAAAGGTCTTCAGGCTTACCAGGCCTCGGCACCCCCCCCACCCCACCCACTGCCTTGAGAGGCATCTCCCCGTTCCAGGGCCCTCCCAGTATCCAGCCCTCAGCCTCCCCATCCCCTCCCTGAAATATTCCTGGCAGTTCCAGCCCTGCCCGCCCGTCTCCTCCGGTCTCTGCATCTAACGGCCAACACCATGGGCCCACTCTGTGCCAGGCCGCAAACAAACACCCTCGGTAGGGCTTCCTGGGAGCTCACATTCCTGTCTGCAGGGTGCACAGCACAGGGGGTCATCTCAACTCCCTCTGCTGCCCCAGCCTCAAGGAGACCCCTTAAGGCATTCTTGGCAGAATCTTTTTTTTTTTTTAAGATTTTATTTATTTATTTGACACATAGAGACAATGAGAGAGGGAACACAAGCAGGGGGAGTGGGAGAGGGAGAAGCAGGCTTTCCACTGATCAGGGAGCCCAATATAGGGCTCCATCCCAGGACCCTGGGATCATGTCCTGAGCTGTAGACACTTAATGATGGAGCCACGCAGGTGCCCCTGGACAGAATCTTCTAACAAGATAATCCTCAACACTTTTCCTAGTCATCCTCTTCCTGCCCAGAGGCTCACCCCTATCTCTGCAGTGTTCTGTCACACACACACACACACACACACACAGACACACACACACCCACCCCACATTCCCTGGCCCTCTGGCTCCCAGCCTGGCTTCCAGCCTCACCCTCTGGACCCCAGCGAGGAACCAGCAAGCAGCCGGGCCTCACGAAGACACAGTGGTCTTACAGTCCCTGCAGGGGAACAGGCTGCTCCCCTCCAGAGAGCCAGTGGGGGGTGCCGGGGTCAAGGGGGGTAGTCTTTGTCTCCCTGCTACACTTTAGAGCCATGACTCATGTCCATCCCCTGAAAACACAGCCTCTCATTCCTCAAGAAGATCTGTTTTCGGTACCTTAGATGTTTGTAATCATAACAAAAAGCATTTCACATTTCCGCATAGAATGTAGTACTTTTTTTTATGCCAAATAATGAAAGACAAGAAAGCGACATAAAGGACAGCCAGCAGGCTGCTCTCCTGAACGCACGAATCCATAAGCAAAACACAAACGATGCAGCAGGAAAGTGGGGAACAGGCAGAGATGGCAAGAGCTAGTGGTCCTTCTAGAGTGCTTACTCCACCGGTGCTGGGCCTGTCTGCAGATGCACCGCCTCTGTGAGCCCAGGCGGCTCCCACCACAACTCCTTGGTACAGCGTGATCCTCCCCATCCTAAGAAAGGAGACAGAGGCACAACAAAGTTGAGTAAATGCCCAAGGTCACCCAGCGAAGATGTCGAGAATCCAGGATTTGAACTCTGGCAGTTTGAGCCACTAGTTTGCTTACAAAAAAGGAAAAGGAAAGAAAATCAAATAGCAAACATGGGGGAAAAAAAAATGCTCAACATCACTTAAAGGGATACGACAAGTGGCGCCTGGGTGGCCCAGTCAGTTAAGCGTCCAACTCTTGCTTTCAGCTCAGGTCATAATCTCAGGGTTGTGGGATGGAGCACCCCACCCCCCACCACATCACGTCGGGCTCAGTGCTCGCCGGAGAGCTGGCTTGAGGGTTCTCTCTCTCCCTCTCCTCCTCCCTTGATTGCATGTTGTCACTCTCTCTCTCACTTTCTCTCTCAAATAAATAAGTAAATCTTAAAAAAAAAAAATACAACAAGAAACAATGAAAGGCCCTTGTCCCTTGTCACCTGTCACACTGATAGCTACAGAGCTTGCTAACTGATGGCGAGCGTGCGGGTCTTGTCCCTTGTTCATGGGATCGTCCACTGGCACATCCTCTTTGGAGGGCTGGTAGGCTTCGTTCTCAAAATTAAAGTCATTTGCCCTTCCTTCAATAAATAAGACAAACGAAATGAATACACTTGTTCTTGACTAAGTACTTCACTGCCAGGAACTTATCCCACAGATGCTCTCACCCAAAGAGCACACATGTGGTCTCTGATGCCATCCTTTTCCATAGGTGAAAACCAGGCAGTGACACAAATGCCCATTAGTGGAAGGAGATTAAATGGATTAAGTTACATATATTCAGGACATCTCGGTGGCTCGGTTGGTTAAGCATCTACCTTCAGTTCAGGTCATGATCTCGGGGTCCTGGGATTGAATCCCACATCAGGCTCCCTACTCAGCAGAGAGGCTGCTTCTCCCTCTCCCTCTACCTGCCCCTCCCTCTGCTTGTGTTCTCTCCTTGTCAAATAAATAAATAAAATCTTTTTTTTTTAAGTTACATACATTCAAGGGGTGCTATTTATTGAAAAAAACTAAAATGAAATCCTTTCAAGCTGATTGAGTTTTTGCCTTTACATACTGATTGCACAGATCACTGCTATTTTTTAAAACCCAAAAGGCTAGTGCCATCCAACTATGCCACCTTCCCCCCTCCCCTGTGGCTGGTCCCCTGCCGGCCCCACAGTCACCTCCTGACCTCCTGGCCACTCTCTCCCTCTCACTCTAACACCTGGTTCCGGGAGCTCCTCTCCAGCCTGGCACCCCAACTCTCCACCCAGCATCCTAGCCTGACCGTTCCTTAACTCCTCAATTCCGGTGACCTTCACATCCATCCTTTTCCTCTTATCTCTGCACGTGGCCACGCTCTAGAACCTCACCTGATGCATCTCAGGAGTGTCAAACTCTGGTCTCTTCCTATGGAGCCAGCCATAACCATCCCACTCAGCAGATGGGTTCTTCTGCTGTGCCAGCATCCCCAGGCATGAA